CTAAAAGCAAGCACTCTGTAATATTAATTTAGAACAAATTACTTCTGCAGTCAGCCCTGCCATAAAGCTCATTCACCGAGATGGCCACAGAAAGTGAGTCATTAAAGAAACAAAAAGTCAAATTAATTGGGGAGAATATTAACATGAAGCTAATTATCTTCATGACATAAAATGGAAAGCAATAGCTGAAAATATCCAACTTTGGTACAAAAGAAAAGCAAAAAATACAATTGAAACATATGAAGAGGAAAAATATTTCAAAATATTTGTCCTAAGCCAACAATAAAGCCCTGGCAATTATAATTTTGGATGACTATGGTATGGAAAACTGATCTTAACATTAATGACTTTAAAAGATTTAAAGTAAAAATCTTAGCATCTTTCAAAGACTATAAATGTCTAAACTATTACTTGGCTACTCTCCAATCAGGAGCACATCTTGCTTGCTGAACTACCTCTATATTCATGAACAGAGCACCATTATCAGCTACCTCAAGGTACATACTCATAGTAACATTCTGATACTCTTAAACTCATAATAAATGCCTTAGCTCTATGCTGCTTTTTTCTCCCTTTTTTTTTTCCCCAGCTATTCTATTCATTGAAAATTCTCTTTAGTATTTTCACAATGACTCATCACAACTTCACCTCAGTGAGGTATTAGACAAGTCTTCTGTCCTTTCCAGGAAAGACTTCTGCTCACCATATTTACTTCCTTAATTAAATATGCTGGTAAAATGACTGGTACAATTAGACACATCCTTACACACTGCCACCACTGCCCAAAACTGTCTCAGTGCTAAACTGGACCCAAAATGTCTTCTCAGGGGAAGTTAAACTCAAACATTTAGATAAAATATAACTGACATAACTTCTACCTTATTAGAAAGTTCATTCAGAATCATAATCCTGCCCAGTACCTTCCTATCTTTCTAAGTGTTTGCTGTTTTGCAATTAGAATAAGAGGGGTATATTTTAACTACACACAGCAGCAGAGTAGCACAGTGTTAACAGAGGAAAAAAGGAATCTGTGCTTTTCTGAGTTGGTTTTTCATTTCTTTTTTTGTTTGTTTGTTTGTTTTTTTTCTTTCACCATTACTTGTTTTCTTAAACCTTCATCTGGCCTTCTACTTGTGGCTCCTCGATCTATGAGATTATCATCAGTATAATTAGTACTACATTCCACAGCTCACTTTTCCAGAAATCTGAAAAGCTGTGCCCCAGGGCAGCTGATCTGTGCTGTTATTGACATAATTTGCACCAGCAAACCAGCATACCATTACAGAAACAAAATAACCAAGCATTATATTGCCCTAAATCAAATGTGAGCTGTCTCTCATTAATATCAGCCACCCATTTCACTGGATCCTCACTACCTTTCAGATAGATAACTCAGTATACATGCCAAGAGGAACTGAAGACAGCTAAAGCCATTTGGTTTGGTTATGTGGGGGGTTTTGTTTTGTATTTTACTGATACTCTACGTTCCCTGAGGTCTCAGTGAAGTGGAGATAAGGAAAGTATCTTAAGATTGAAATACAGAGAAGTAAGATGGTACCATTAAGATATACTTACGCACCATCTTACTTCTGGGATGGAAGTGGGAGTGATAACAGAAGTAGAATTGGGAAAGGTTTTGGGGAAGCTAAGATGGTTGTAAACCCTCTAGGATACGGGAGACAAGTAAGAAGAGTTCTACAGGTAATGAATGTGATCCAGAGAAACTGAAACAGGTTGAGTGGAAGCTGGACAGGCAGAACATGAAAAAATAAAGCAATGACTGACTTAAATTTATATTATTTTTCTGAAAATTAAGACTCAAAAACCAGAAACCATTAAAAAGATTTACTACTTCAATGGAAGAAAGAAGTATAACATCAAAATATAAAACCCACACAGTAACTGAATGATAGTTTAGCTGGTTGACAGTTCATCTTGACAAAAATAGGAAAAACTAAGTATTCACGAGCATCTCATTAAAAACTCATACCTCCAGGACAAGGCTTGGAGTGATGCAGACAAAATAATGCTTGCACTGGAATACTGATGCCAACACGTTCATTCCTTGTGGTGCCACACATTATCTGTGACACTCTACACGTGCACCTGCTTTAAGTCAACTTCAGAGAAGCAGGGGTTAGAGGATGAGGACTATTTAGCTAACTTCATAGTCTGGGGGTTATCAAGTTCCCTCATTTCACAAATATCATTTGAGTAAAGATTATGTTTAATTAGATCTCTTCAGACAATGTGATGTTCCCTAAAAAAATAAATCTTCCAAAAAGTGATTTTGACTGAGGAAGCTTAAAATCCTGTGTTGAATTTACTGGTCAATAGCAGCTGAGCCATGTGGACTCTCCAGCCTCAGAGAACCCTTAACTCTGGTTTTCTTCCCCAACCCAGTGATTTCACAAGTGCACACACTGCAGGGAACCTGCTCTGCTTGGCACCCTGGAAATCCCAAGCAGAGCCAGAAGGCAAATGAGCACACAGCAGCGAGACAAACATTCAGCTCCACAGCCCTTCAGTGACTCAGACAACGCATCTTAACTGAACTTTTTGGTAATTAAAATAAAAACCAACACCTGTCAACCATCTCAGAAGCAAAGTCACACATACTAAGCAATTTTTTAAAAAGCAAGGATAAGAAGAAAGAATATTTTAGCCATGACTTTTTTTTTGAGAGAGATCTTCCAGTCTATATCCTTTAAGTTCAAGACATAGTCTCCAGAGAAAGTTTCAGACATTACAGGGATGGTATTCACCCTCATACTGAGCCAGAAAGCTGTGGAGATACTGGCTTGAGCTACTATATCAAACTCCAAGATTTAGTAGAACTTAAAACAAAAGCTTTTTTGTTAAGATATATTTAAGACTTTGAGGACAAACATTACTTCTGGAGGGGAAAAAAAAAAAAAATCTGCTAAAAAGCTTAAACAAAGTTGTGGGTTGGAAAACAAATGAACAAAAAAATTGCCTCAAACAACACAAACATCTGAAAAAAGAAGTTAAAGATTTCCCAAGAAAATTAAAAGCAAACCAGCAAAAGACTGTTCAGTTGTATTAAGGAAAACAAAACTAGGGGGAAAAAAAACCCCAAGAAAAGAATAATCAGGGTTGCTAATGCAGTAAGAACAGAGTTTAAACACAACTTTGTTATGTCTCTCAAACTTGAAAAATATTCTGACCATTATCAAAACACACAGTTTTAATGGAATGAAAGCAGAACAGATGATGGAAAGAAGGTATGGAGATTAGAAAATGACAAAGTTTGAAGTAGTAGCTGAATGGTAGTGTGCTCAAATAAAGGGGTTTTTTTTTGTTTTTTTTTTTGTTTTTTTTTAAAGTGAGGGATCTAGAGACTGAGAAGAATAGGATTAAAGAATAAACTAACCATTTAACAATCAGAACAATAAGGTTCTGGTACAACCCTCATAATATTGGTGGTAATCTGGGAAATAACTCCTTTTGAGAAAGAGATTAAGAGGTTCAGAAAAGTGAGGCATTACATGGTTTACAAATCCAGTCAATTAGTTTGATCCATTCCCAAACCCTGTATTCCTACAGATCTTCCTATTGCTACAGAAATATTCTGGAAAAGAAGAAGAAAAAAGAGCCAGTAAGAAAACAAAACCCCTGAGAAAGAAGTCAGAACAGTGCATTTCTGCCAGAAAATGAAGAGACAGCTTGTACCAGAAACTGTTCCTAAACACATAGCTCTGTACTGGAAGGGCTGGCAACCACTGACATAAGGTTTTTATATCAAAAAGTAGTCTAATCTAGGACACATCTCTAAAGAATCAATAAAGGAAAACCACCAATGCCTAGCCAGACCCATGTTTAACTTTTGCAGTTTCTATTGCCAGTGACAAATCCATGGATTATTTCTGTTCCTGCAATTCACTGCACCCTTGCTTGACACAAAATTAAAAAAAACCAGAAGAGCAACTCAAGCACATCAGCAACATAACTTTGTTCCAAGTTTACCAGTGGTAAATAGGCAAAGAGATAATATGAGGCAGATAAAGCCCCTGTGTGGCTAACACTTTGGGTGTTGAGTATTTGTGGGTGGTGTTGCCTTCTGGCACCAAGATCTCCATTTACAGATGAACATTTTTAAGGCAGGAATGTCTCACCTGATTATCACGTCTCACTGCCGGTATCACAATGACTTAGAATGGTCCAAGCTGATGCCTTATAAAATACTCCTACCCAACTCCACAATTCTTCCAGAAAAATACAAGACCAATTTTTTGGAAGAATACATCCTGTTGTCTGAGAAGCCTAACACAGAGCTGATGCTGCCACCAACCTTCAACAAAGGTATCCAATGAAGTCATGGCCAGCATCAGGTATCAACCTACAACACTTTATCCCTTTTCTTCCACAGCTGCAACGGCAACAGTCTGCCTCTGAAATAGACTGTCTCCTCTGTGTTCCCTGGATTCCTCTTTCCTTACTTCCCTGAGCTACTGGTACAACCCGACGTGGCCTCTACGTCCACCTCACACTGTCAAAGCAGAGCAGAACTGTGATGGAACAGATAATACCTCTCTTCAGGAAAAAAAGAGATGGCAGAAAAAAAAACTTTGTGTGAGAAAAATAGAGAAAATAGTCCAGGGCTGCCTGGGAAGCAAGGAAAGAGGCTGTGTCAACTATGAAGAGAAAGTGGAGTCCACAAGAAAAAGGGAACTAAGAAAAGTTGCTTCCTGTTCGTCTAGCTGACCTACCTTCAGCTGAAGACTCCCTTTCTCCAGAAACAAAACTTTTGGCCAAGAACCTTTAAAATCCCTTCCTACCACCAGGACTGAACTGGAAAAAGACATGTACTTTCTTGAAACAATTATTTTCATGTCACCATGACCAACACTTACCTAGACACTGAACCTGAGTCTGTGAATGTCAGCAAGCCCTGCACTTTGGCCACAAAATCTACCCAAACTTTGTCTTCCACAGGGCTGTATTTATTGCCATAACCCTTACTGCAATTAAGCACTTACCTGTGGGAAGTCCTTTTCCCCTCAACCTCTCACGAATAGCCTGGCTCCTGTCTGGCTGCAGTTTTCTATCTCCATTGCAAGAAAGCTGATCCACCTGCAGAACAGACAGTAAAGCAAAGTCAAATATCAAAAGAGCTTACATTAGTATGAAACAAGCGTAAATGCACATCATAAGTCAGTGCCAAACAGTTATGTTCACGTTCAGAGTGGCAGTTTAAACTTTTTTTCATAAAAAAACCAGGTTAATCAGTGAGAACATCCCCTAGAATTGGTCGTATTTGAATAACCTGTGCATTATTTTTACTACACATTTGGTCTACTTTCTTCCACAAAGCATCAGTTAAGTTCACAAGCACGCAACTTAAAATACATCCCAACCCTACAGCAATCTGAAGAGACAGCAACACTCAAAAAACCCCATGTTCCGTGGTTGCAACATGACTGGAACTTGTGATTGGCCTGATGAGTTTTCTGAGTAACAGGAAGAACTGTCTTGTACCTGATAGTTTCAGGCTGATACCTCACACAACTTATTACACACGTAACCATATGCATCTGTGAGACGTCTCTTCTTTAGCCCCTCAGGTACATTCCTTTTGTGTGTCAGGCTTAATTACTTCCAGCAAATTTAACTACTTTTTTTTTTTTTTAAATCACTACTTCCCTCAAAAAATGATTTCACATGTCTAATCACTCAAAGAAGAGCTTATTTGCTACAACAAGATGGGAATTGGCATAATTTGGATGGTGGCTTAGCCACGAGGTGGGAAAGAGAATTCAGGCAGCTCTCTATCCATCACAGTCACAATGCAACTCCACTAACTTTAAACAGATTGAATACATCTTGTGTCACATTGCCCTTTACAAAGCCTAATAACACAGACAGTGGAAACATTCAGAGAGGACCTCTCAGCTGTGCTTCATAGGCCACCAAATGACCAGTTAAAGAGATAAAACCTCTCTAGCCTTTGGTAAGGCCCATCGAGATTGGAGGCATACTGATCTTGGAATAGCAAGTTGTACTATGGTTCTGAAAAAAACCCAATTTCATACACTTTTCTTATTAGCTTAAAAATTCCAGCTCACACAGAGAGCACTCAGCATTAAAACCAGCAGGGATGGTTAGCTAAGGTGCACAAAAACTCAGCAGCACACAGAGAGCACTCAGCATTAAAACCAGCAGGGATGGTTAGCCAAGGTGCACAAAAACACAGCAGCAGAGCTGTGTCATTGTTATCTCAACGCTCTGTTCCATTCTGCTATTTTGTTCTCATCTTCTTGCAAAGCCAATGCAGTGGCACGTTATGAATTAGGTTAACAAGTTTACTGGCAGAGGAAATCTAGCTAACTTCAGCACTGGATAACCACCAGTAGACCTGTTCCTTCATTATCAACACGGTAGAGGAGACAGGAACATGCTTGCTGGATTCAGCTCTCCCCTGGATTTCAGCACATGCATTTGGGAGCACTAGTGCCAGTCTGGATGAGCCTGTCACACTCACCTCAGACTCCCTCTGAGGACCTGCTGACAAGAACAAGATGAGGAAAAGCAGAAAATTTGCTAAGTAGAAAGGGCCATTAAGAACTTGGAGACTAATGACTTACCCTCCACAGTGGCTGTTTCTATAGCTCATGGCCTGATTTAAGGTTTGGATCTTTATTTTAATAGTTTCACTGATGAAGGCCTTGTAAGCTTTTATTTCACTGAATCACAGACCAGCTCCACTTGGCAACTGCGTAAGACTTCAGACATTACAGCGACGAGGACGGGACTGACAGACATAACCTCACAGACTAGACAATGCTTTGTGGAACTTGGGCTCAGTACTATTTCTGGAGGCCTGTCATAATCAGCTGCTGCCAAATATTAAACAAATGCAGGGGCCTCTCACCTTGTGCAAGCGTTTCCAAAGCAGATTTATGAACAAACTATCTAACAATTAGATAATAAGACATTTTTCCATTAAAAAAAAAGAAGCATTATCAAGTCAAACATTTTTCTTGCAGTTACAGTGCTGTCCCTCCAGACACCAATTTTTACATTGGCATAACCTCCATGAGATTAAAAAAAAAAGGGAGTTTCAATGATATAAGACTGGATAAAATTCAGGATCATCATGGGCTATAATTCCATCAAGAATAAACCTCTTGGCATTTGTTTTAATTATAAACAGAACACAAGGAAAGCAAGTATTGGCCAGAGAACAATCTAATATTGACAATTTATTCCTTTCTACTCAAAGCCATGGAACTATTTAACGATTCTGAAGTCATGTTGTAATGGTTTAGGTGAAGGGAGAGGTTGCCTGTCAGGAATAGTAACTTTGCAAGATGAGTTCATATAATTTCTTTCACTTCTGAAAACAGTTTAACTCATTTGTCATCATTACAGAATAACATCCTACACAACTATCATACCCAAGAGCTGAGCAGAAGTGCAAGAGAACTGGCAAACTGCCTAAAGAGTCCCTCTCTTCCTGTTAATAAGCAACTCTCCAAAAGTCAAGCGTAACTCTAAAAAAGCAAATTCACAGTAATAATTTTTTAAGCATTTCAAGGAGTTACAAGTTCAAGGTTTGTCCCAGAGTTCAGAATCTTTTTTGTTCCGTTTTCCCCTACTTTTCTTTCAATGAAGACAAAGAGTTCACAAAACTATCTTCCGCAGAAACAGCAGTTGTGAACATATTCCAGGAGGAACTGTCAAGCACACAAACTGTTACAAGGGGAGAGAAGCAATTCCCTCCTTTCAACATAGTAAAACAAGAGGAACAACGACTACAGAGTGACTCTGAATTAGCACCTTTGCTCTCTTTCTGCTCATCTCTATTCTTCCTCAAATGCTGACACAGACTTACCCCAGACAGGCTTCCCAGAACCAGTTTGACCAATTGTTTCACGTATGAAAAAGAAGGGGCACAGTTACTGTTCCTTATGTGGGCACTGCAAGCATCCAGAACAGTCCGTACAGACACACGGGCATAAATGACATCTTCACACATGCCAAGGAGTATGCTGTTGAGATGATCTCCAAGTTTGATAGGCTAGTGACAAAGAAAAACAAAGAGGGACGGAAGAAACAGTTTTTAAGAGTGACTTGTGGGACACATGGAAACAAAATACATTCAACACAGTAAAATAACTATTCACCAGACTTATTGCCTACGTTACCTGAGTGCTAATTTGAAGGTCACCATCTAGGTGATGAAAAAATCATCTAGGGGACGGGCATTCAGCATCTGGATTTGTTTCCTACTCTACAACAATCTGGTCCAAACAAGCTGCCTGATCCGATTAAGGTCTGGACACCAACGCTTTCCTTTCTCAAGGGCGTAATGACTAGTGAAAAGGTTCAGAGGAAATTTTCTTTGTTGTTTTTAAGCATTCTGCCAGTCACAAGCATAAAATTCAATCCTCATTACAATCGTTTTGTAACCCTCTGTTTGCTACACTCATTTTCTACAGTTCTTCACCTCACCAATATTTTGCAGCAGCAGTGTTAGCCTTTCCAAAGTCCAGTGACACCATCAAACAAGATCAACAGAAAAGTAAGGAATAAAACAACAAAGCCACTACTTAAGGAAGCAGAGCTTCATAGTTGCAGGACAACACCCATACAGTTAAGAACAACCTAGATTTAAATTCTCCTCTATCTGTTCAGTTAATCCAGCACACTGTACACGGAATATCACTCCTCAGGGTATGCAATAGTCAGCGATAACACTTGTTCTCAGATGCCCCAGGCACTTGGGATTTGAGCTTTCTGATCTGCAACTCTCCCCAAGTGGGTGGTTACCCACAAAGTACCGGCATTGTTGTGCTTTTTGCAGCACAGAACCCTTCAAGCCAATACAATCTCCCCATCTTCCCTGTATTAGTACTCTGAAACTGTACCATTAACAACAACAACAAAAAGTATTCTGGACCACCCTGATTTAATTAACATAAGGCTTTCCCCATCTATCAGAGAGAAGAAAAGAGAGAAGAAAGAAAAGAGAGAAGAAAGAAAAGAGAGAAGAAAGAAAAGAGAAGTGCAATACACAGACTGTCCTTTTGCCTCCACTAACTTCACAGGGCAGAAGCACCACATGAGAACACCCCAAAGCTAAATTCCAGACTTCTCCTTCCTTCTTTCCAGTCATACCTCACTACACTGTCTTTGGAAAAATATTGTTATATCGATACTTTTATTGTTATATCAATATAAAATATTGTTGTATCAATACATCACTCCTTCCCACTGCATTATTGTGAAACTGTCACTGTAATCTAATACCAAAGGAAGAAACAACCAAAAAGGGGACTAAAATTCACACCTATTTTCTGCTCAACACCTCCATGTACTTTAAGTCACTCGCCCACTGCTGCTGAATACTGTTCTTTTCACCTCCTACAAGACAGGAGAGCAACAAAAGGGGACAGCTGCCTAAGGAAATACCGGGGCTTTGGGACAGGCACAGCAGCCACTACAAATAAGTATCCATAAAACAGTCACAGGGTCAAATTTTTCTGACTTTTGCATTCAGGCAGCTACTTCCAAATCAGTACAACTGAGAACCCAACTACCACTCTGTTAAAGAAAATATTAGGAGCTGAACACTTACATTTCAAAATTTCCTTCCTTACCCTTACACGTAAGACCAACTAGTAGGACTAAGCTCAGATATGAAACAGAAACAGCTTATCTCCTTGAGCTGCACAACGCTCTGCCAAATCCCACAACCACAAGTCCATCATTAAATGCTTTTTTGGATGCATTTCATCTTATTTTCACTCCTCTAGATATTGACTTCTAAAAGTTTAATTGGGGGCAGGGAAGGAGCACCCAGAAAGACGATGAATCACCATCATCTTCAGTCAGTTTTGGAAAGACAGTCTAGGAGTTGTGTTGGGTGTGTGAAGGAACCTCATTGAGCAATAACACTCAGCTCTAAGCGCTCTGCAACTATGTCGGCATTGACTGATAAGTCAATAGCAAGAGTCTACTCCCCTTTCCAAACAATTCATACCCTTTCTTGGTCATTGTGTAATGTAATTATCTGTATGTGCCAAGTGGAGACTCACAGAAGTTACAGCAGCATGGAAAACAAGTTTTATTATGAGTAAAGCAACAATGTTATTTAAATATTTGTTTTTATATAAGCCTAAACCAAAACAAATCATTATCTGCTATGTCAGCAGCTTAAACTGTTGTCTTTCAGCCCGTGACACTACAGGATAGACTAGCCCAGATAGATCTTTGTGGAAACTAACAGAAATGTAGTATCAGCACCTTCTTTCTGCTAGACATCACCACCACCCTCCCCACACACTCCACAGGAAAAAGCTGCAAGTACAGGAAAGAAATCTTTGATTATGACACTGCCATGTTAACTTAAACACAGATCCAGTCAAACTATCAAGTCCAAAACTGCAATATTAAACAAACTCAAATCTAAACTTACCTGACTTTGAGGAACTTCATGATCAGCTCCCCAGAAGAGTGCCATGCCAAGGGAGTAAATATGGACCTGTCATAAAACACATTACATGTATCAACTCATTGAACAGGACTGGAAATGCAAAGTGGAACTTTAAAGTAGAGTAACTCTCTCAACATCATTTTGCCTACATATATATTCCTGGTATTTATGCTCAGTTGTCTTTCAAATTGTTCTTCTCCTTTGCCATGAGGGTCGGAGAAGCAAATCCCACTGCTTTGAAGCATACTGCATCTAACCAGTGCCTCCTCCACCTTCTCTGTTCCATTTTAAGCTTCCATCTCACACTGAAGCCAGAAGCACGTGTAATCCATGTGATCAGCCTGGTGTGGGGTACTGACTGCATGGTTGTGTCCCAGGATCCTGAAAACTTCAGTATGAAGGCAAGGAATATCACAGCAAAACTCAAACAGTGGGCTACTACTGTCCAGAGATCCCCAAGATTGGGATCAAAGGGAAAAAAGGAATTATCAATTATTTTATTATCTCAAAAAGGAGTATCAATGTATAAAGCATTCGCCTTAATCCATTATTGATATTTTAAGATACAAATACATTCATCATTACACTTATAATTAACGATTAATATCAACATTAACTACATTAATAGATCTTTAGCATATTAAGCCCATCGGACAAGGAATAAAACCTTTATATACTGCAGAATTAAGAGCAGAAACACGTACTGCCTCTGTACATGACTAAAAACAAAACAGTAAATGCAGAAAAAAAGCTGGTTTTCTGGACAATGTAAGTAATATACATCACTGATGGCTCTTTCTACCAAGTTATTACTAATATTTGTGCTACCTAAAACAAGAAGTTTATTCCATAACTGTGCAGACAATGAGTAGCAATTACAGGGACAGCGATAAATTGACAAGGTGTGTCCAGACTCAGGTACTTCATATACAGATTTTAAAAACTGAGGTGTAAATTGGGTGTACAAATGTAACGGATGGACTCAACAGAACCTATGAAATGATGAAAATAATTTTGTTCTTTCTACACTAAATATGTAGAGTTGTTTAAAAAAATAAATCACGCATTTAGAGACAGCTTAAGGTCATACAAGAGAATTCATGTCTATACTAAGACGTCTCTTAGTCTACTCAAGACAACAAAGTATATTCTCAAAGACACAAAGATGTTTTACTTTTCAGACCAGACTGCTTGAAAAACATTATGCCATCACTGCACTGTGCCAGGAATTAACCCCAAAAACACAAGTATGATGTATTTTTAGATTTCTATTGTAAAACAGAAAAAAAGTTTCCTTTTTACATATTCAGAAGAGCAACAGAGAGCTTTGTGACAGGGTAAGGAAGTAGTTACTAAATATACTTAGAAGCAACACATTATTAAAATTGTTCTCATATATTCAACGTGCTTTATTCATATAAAATTGGAATTCAGTGTACTTGGAGAAGCAGTCCAATCCTGAACTTCTGCCACAGCATATGAGTCAGTGCAGGACAGAAAGGTTTCCTTCCATCAGGAGAAGGTAGCGATGTATCAAGGCACTGCTGACACTCGGTGATGGTTCAGTTCACCTGACTGACAAACACTGAGGAACGGGGTCAGCCAGTGTGCATTCAGACATAGATGTGCAAGGAGGATATTCAGGTGGGAAAAAAAAACCCAGAGAAAATGTTTTCCAATGTTTTTCTTTGTGATAAAGCTGGAGCAGAACCATGGAGACTGTTTTTGCAATGGTGCTCAGAAGGGAAAAATCAGGAGGCAAGTTTTGTTGCCAGTGGCATGTTCTGGCTGTACCCAAGATGCAGACGAACCACAGCTTTATGTTAGACATAAATATGTATGGAGCCAGCTCTGTGTACCTAACAAGGGCTCACCCATCAGCTTCCTCTCCCAGAAAGAGAGCACTGGCCACCAAAGTAAGGTCTCTCTGTTCCATGTGAAGAACAGAATAGGACAGAAGTCATAGACAAGCATCAATGGGTCTCAGTTCATACCACTGCCCCATTCAACCACAAACATTATCTTTTAAATACTGAGAATATTGTTCCGTATCTGGTTTATTACCCATCACTCTTGCAACTGAAATACTACAAAGTCTTCCTTACATACCCAGATCTACCTTACCTACCTACCAAGTATACAGAAAAAAGGGAAATATATGTTCAGGGTAGTAATGCATGGAAAAATTTTGGGAGGGGGGGGACCAAAACAAAAACAAAAAAACCCCACAAACACCACAACAAAACCCCAAAACAACAACAACAACAAAAATCAAATAAAAGTCCCCCAACCCCTCCTGTTCCCCAAAAATGCAAGAACAGCGCTTAAAAAGTCTATTATGAAAATTGTTAATTCTAATCAGAGAAGTGGTCATGGCCCTAAGTCTGCGGGTGTTCAGGAAGCATTTGGACAACGCTCTTCGATACAGGATTTAATTTCTGGGTTGCTCTCTGTGAATTCTGGAGTTCGACTCCATGATCCTCACGGGTCCCTTCTAACTCAGGACATTCCATCATTCCATGATTCTAAGCTTCAACACAATGGAAAATATTTCCAAAACCAAAAAGTGCACCATCCTCAACAAAAACATTACTGTACAACTATACAATCAGACCTATAAACTAAAGCACGCTACCCTACTAATCTATCTGAAAATAGCCTTCAAAATAAAAGCCAAGTCAAACAGTTTGTGATGTGGTACCGTGGTGTCTTTAGCCTGGCTGGCAACCAAAGACCTGCTCGCTCACCCTCCCTCAATGGGATGGGGCAGAGAATCAGAAGGGTAAAAGTGAGAAAACTCATGGGTTGTGATAAAAACAATTTAATAATTGAAATAAAATAATAATGACAGAAACAGTAATAAAGAAATATACAAAAGAGTGACACACAGTGCAATGGCTCACCACCTGCCAACCAATGCCCAGTCCATTCCTGGATAGCGATCCCAGACCAGGATCAATCCCAAAATCAAAACCACAATCACGGAAAAGCAAGTGATCTGAGAGAATCCCAGAGATTTCTGGTCAACCCTCGTCAATACACTGAGCATGACATTATATGATATGGAATATCCCATTGGCAGAGCCAAATACCAGTTTGGGTTTCTAATTACTATGGTGCCCACTAAAGTCCTTTGCACCTGCAGACAAAACACAGGGAAACTAGAAACGACCTTCGTTTTCCAATAACAACTAAAAACATGGGTGTTATCAACATTCTCCTCATAACAAACCCCATGCTGAAGCCAAAACCCAGTTCTACTTCCAGCTGCTGAGAAGAAAATTAGCTCTAGCCTAGAGAAACCAGGACAGGTACTCCATCAACTCCACCAATGGTATTTCAACCTTTATATTAACTTAAGCAGGTTTCCCAAGTACAGCGTTTCAAAGTTGCAAACCACTACTATACTGAAATAAAAAATATATCCACTACATATCAGTTAAACTAATTTTTGGACTTTAAAATAACATCTGCACACATATCATGCAATTCTCTCCTGTTTCATACACCTTACCTTGAAAAAAACAGATAAATAGCCATATTGCTGCTCAACTGGTGTTTGACAGTTGCCCCTACAAATTTCTAACTGCTTATTATATTTTGACAGCCTGAGGTTGTGTCAAATAGTCAGAAGAAAAAAATAATAATAATAATAATAATAAAAAAATCCCACAACAGCCTGTTTAAAAGATCATGGCTGCTTGAGGTTTGTGCAGCATTATGTCAAGTTCCTTACACAGGAAATAATTCCAGCATGAAAACTAGGCAAAAAACAGCTACTGAAAAATTGTGTTGTAAAAACCACAGGATTTTGCTAGTTTCAAATGATCAGTAACTCCTGTTTTTGTAAAATACTACCTAATAAGCTAATACTACGTTTTTTTATATTTAAAATATGCCTCTCTCTCTCCAGATGAGCTAACCTTCGATTTAGAGGCATTTAACATGCATCTCTTAAAAATGAAAGCATATATTCAAAAAATCTTGCTAATTTTTGCATTATGATACTTCTAACACTTCCATAATATATAAATCAACATCAAATTAATTTCCCAAATTAATCTTTCATTAGAATTTTGAATAATTTGCTTACTCTATTCCCAATAAGCTTGCAGTTACCTCAAGTATTCAAACTGACTGGATGTCTTGGAATCAAAAAGAGAATTCATCAACTGTAACTTTTTCTAACATTTATTATTGAATACACTGTTACTTTGTGGTAGCAAGTAAAGTCATAACTCAAGAGACAAATGTGACTGTCTGTCTGTTAGAAGGACATAAGAAACAAGATGTTTTTTTCACTACCACTGAGCGAACAGCCGTGTGATTTACCCACAAGGCTTTAAACTGAGAACAAGAATGATAGCAGCAAGTTTGCTTCAAATGTTTTTGTACCATCCCATGCTAACAGAACAGTTAATTTTACCCACCCCCCCTCCCCAGCATGTGCAAAACACACACAGAAATCAAGTGGAGCTCAAACACAGAACAGGTTAATTCATTCTCAAGTCCAAAGCCTGAAGCTTCAACCTAATGCTAAAGCTGAATACCACAAGCTAAAGGGTTTTATTTAATTTACAAGTGACTGTATGAGTAATTTGCTTATATAAAGCCAAAGCTTCTCTATTTCCACACCCAATCGCTTCCCAATGAAAACAGCAACAGAGTTGCTGCTGCAGCCTAGAGTCTCAATATTTCTCATCATGTTCCAGCAAGCAAGGTTCTACTGATATCATTAAATAAATTCACACAGGCATAATTGGAGAGGATTAATCAGTTCTGCATATGTGCAGAATGCCAGTATTTGGTCATCAGTCATCTCCTATTGCTACACTCTGTGCCAGAGTCGACAGACCATAGTGGTCCCTCTGAGTATTTCCTTCCTAAAGATTAAGAAACATCATAGCAAAGCTTTTAATAGTAACAGTTCTCTATTTATTTCAAAAAGAAAAAAGTAATATGCTGAATGAATACTGGCACAGAACAAAGAATGCAATTGGCTTGAGGAAGGTCACAAACACGTCATTTCAAAACCTTTTCCTAGTGTTTTTCGAAGTTAATATCCGAAACAGGCTTTTGAGTTGGCACTCGAGGTAATGTTACTGTCTTCAACAGCACTGTCTCTCTTGAAAGAGGATAAACAATTCCATCAGTATGACTACAGAGCTTGGGAGCTTCATACTACAAACTGATCCCAAATTTGCACTGATGTCAGTGTTATTTTTATTTTTACATCTCTATTAAAACTTTCAGCTGGTTGCTAATTGCTTATAGTTTTTTAATAGATAAAATGATAAACACATTTTATTATACCATTCATTTTGACTATACAACAAGGCAAGGATGTCTAAAGGAAGTCAAGTAATTGAGGAAACTGATTTTTCAGTAGGTATTCGGTGATACAGTCCTAAAGAAAAATGACTATATACAAGGTTTAGAAGAGAAAAAGCTGCAAACACAGAACATTCAACACAGAAAAACACATTTTAATAGTCCTTGTGCACACAACAGCAATCGATGCCAATACTGGTTTCCTCTGGAGTAAAAGCCTCTTGCTGTATTTCCTGGAGGAACACTGCCAAATGTCATAATTGTTCCCAGATTACAACAACACTGGCTGCGGTCAGTTTGCTTCTCTAAAGATTATCGATCCAAGGAAGCCAAGGAGATGGAAATGGAGCTCAGCTTCCGTCTTATTCCCACCTCTAAATATCTTTGACTAGGCCAAGGGAATGGTTTTCTGGGGAAAGTGTTACCATTTGCAACAAATTGTTGTTAAGAAAACATTTGAAATGCTAGTCATTTTGATTGTGTGTGTCAATGACCTGGAGAAGATGACATATACAAACCTTCCCTGCCTGAACATCTGCCCTTGGGGAAGAGTTAACAAAGGAAAGTGGAAAGGAACAATTTTGCACACAACTAAGGAATACTTATGTTAATGAAAACCAACCTTTTCTTCTCAGATGAGTGCAGGAATATCCCATTTTTTGAAACCCTGGACAGTTTGAGTAATTCCTTGACTTACCTCTCAAGAATAATTTTGCAAAAAAAGTTTTTAAGTAATTGAAATTGTTGATGTTACTGAAATCTTTTAGAAAGGGAAGTCAAAGCGTTCCTTAGTACTAATTGGATGGTCAGTTGTTCTGTGCAGCAACACACACATAACAGGGACCTGCACACAGACACCTCTTCGTATGTTCATCCAACCCCAATCACTATCCCACTTTTACGGATGAAACCAAAGTAGGAGAATCCCTCCTCCCCCTTCACAAAAGAAATCAACAATTATGCATACAAATCAAGAACCACAGGGAGACAAAAAGGACAGTTTAAAGCTATTTTGTGAAGGGATCAACAGCAAAAGCCAACAGCTGTCTGCCAAGGAAGAGGTACTGTACCTTTTCAACGTCCGACAGAGAGGAGAGAGAATGGTTCTGCAGAACCTCCGGTGCTGTGAACGCTCGCAGGTCTTGTTGGGAGACATTTTCATCAGTAAATGATACACTCCCAGATGGTAGCAACAGGAGAGACCATGGAGAAATGATGAAGCCCAGAGTAGTAGGATCAGCTGTATTTTAAAGGAGAAAAAAAAAGAGAAACAAAACCAAACCCTGAAATTAAATCAACTTTCTTGGATGCCCTTGCTTGATGTTATTTCATTTGCTCAAAGACATGTTTAATATCAGCCTAATTTTTAATGGAACAGATTCAGCCTTCCTTTTCCACCTCTGGTGCTTCATAACCACAACAACCACCTCAATTTTAATCACACTAAGGAGTAACACCTATCTTTTTTTGACTCACCTTTGCTACTATTCATTCCAGCAAGCTCAGGAAGACCCTGCTAAAATACTCACAAGCTCTCCGGTCCTCAGTTTATTTCATTTATATTACAGTCAACATAAAATGATCACATTTTGTAGTGTACATGTCATTAAGGCTAATTCCTACAATAAGAATGGAGTTAACTGCTATACTAATATAACACTTCAGCAGTAGCAATGATCTGAACAGTGAAGACAAAGAGAGAGAGAGGAAATACTCATTACAGTAACTGGACAAAACAGAAAAGTTTTGGGGCAGGGAAGTCTTTTTTTTTTAGCCTAGAGAAAAGAAAATATTTCAAAAGTAGAAAAAGAAAAGAATTCTAAGCAGCAGTTGAAGTTGGCAAAGAATAAACCTGAAACCTTAGTAAGATCATCCATTCACACCCTGTGATTAATACTTGAAAATAGCAAAACAAGCTCTGAAATCAGAGAACCAAAAGTGACAAAGAAAACTTCCTACACCATGAATATGCAATTTGCCAGCTAGGTTTGTGATGTCTGATAATACTGCTGTCAAACTTCTGGCCACAGATCCACTTAAAATTTAAAATTAAAAAAAAAAAAAAGAAAAAAAAAAAAAGAGTAGAGGGAGGAGAAACAGGCCACACGCATGAGAAAGGTATTAAATCCCAAAGTCTCCCCAGAAAGTAAAAGTTAATTAAGGAAGGGGAAAAAAAAAGACAAACCAGCAAAATATTTCATTGAGTCAAAATATTTTTTCCTATTATTTCAAATATTATTTCAAACAATAAATCAGCTCTATTTCACTGAAGGAGGCGTAAGCTTTTATCTAAATAAAGTAAAAGTTAACTCTTATTTTTCCATAGGCAAAGTGGCAATTGCTCTGTTTTCTGCTACATGATACATCAGAGATCTGAGGAAACAGGCATTTGAAGGATAAGTCTTTTTTTTTCCCCTTTATATAGTAACAGCAGCAGAATAATTTCCTCCTTCAGCTCCATCACCACCATTTTCCACTCTCCTATCAGCTCAGGATGTTCCTACAGTGCTGGTTCCTAGGGTATTCTATTATCTTGTAATCTAGAATATTTCTAATCTCCTAGGAAATGTATTCAATTACTGCTTGCAGGTATCAGATGTAAAAGGATCTACCAAGTTAGTCCTTCAGTTTCTTCAACTCTTCTTTCCTCCAAAAGAAGCTAAGAAATTGCTCCTAGGCTTTCTACACTCTGTGATACCAAAGCAAAACTACAGTAATAACTTGGTAGTACAATTATCCAGAAAACTGTTACAACTTACAGATCCTGTTACAACTTTCAGAAAGTTTCCCCTCCTACCAATGTGTGCAAGAAATATTATTCATTAGAGAACCCACATTCATTTTTCAGTGTAACATATGCATTTTTCTCAAAATACCTTGAATTGCTATGTAGAATTTTGTTTTATAAAGGAGAAGAGACCATTGAGGGCAATAAACATTCTGGAAATTGAAAGATCCTACAGAGTCTTCTCTTAAGTAGTTACTTCAAGTTGTTTAATCACCTGAAGACCAAAGGAGTTTGTTATAGTTTTTCTAATGGATTTTAAAACACCAGTATGTTTTGCTGGAAGCCAGTATGACAAGTGTAGGACTCACAGTGCAGAACTGGTTTCCCCCTGCTCTGCTTTTTATGACATACAAGAGAGGTTCAGTCTTCTTGGCTCAGAGGATTCCATCTCATTGCTCCAGCTTTCTCCCCAGATCCAAAAGAAATCAGTAATTGATGGATGGTATCCCTGATCTAAGCTCTCACACAGAACTGTTGAGATCCTCATGGAAATCAGAACTCTGTCACATAAAAAACCCAAACAAACAAACAAAAATACCCTAAAAATACCAAATACAAAACTACACGTGATGACATCTCTCTTATACACAGAAGACAAGATCTCAGAGGGTTTTCCTACCCTATTTCAGTAAGTAAAATCACAAGGGAGAAAGCAATATATGTTACTCGAACCCACCAATGCCAATATAAGCTTCACTAAATGAAACACACCTCTCAACTAACAAGTTGTACAAGTATCTTTCTGTTTCTAGATCTCCTCCAGTGTGACTTTGAATACTTCCAACTATTGAACTTATCAAGGTGTTATAAAAATAGAAAATTCAGCCAACAACCAAACAATTGCATTTGCTGACACACTTGAACAACATCATATAAATTTGGTCAAGAGAAGAAATTACAAATTTAGTGCAGACATTAATTACCAATCCTTACACCACAGCACACGTTTTCCCCTCTTCCCCACAGCAAACTGATTGATCCCTAGCTAAAAAAATAAGATTTAAGCCTAGAATCACTATCTTTAATGGCTACAACAAAATACCTGCTTGATACAGTAGTAAAAATAATCAATCACACCCAAGATGATGGTTTCACTGCGGTGTGTAGGAAGGCAAATGGCATGAAGCAAATGGCATTACATCTACAGACAGCCCCTCAACTTCAAAACCAGAGTTTAAAAATATCTCATATTGTGAAAAAGCCATCAAATACATCAATTTAAAAATAAGATGAGTTTAAGAAGCTTTAAACACCACATACGGCAAAAATAGTAGAAAATGACTTCAACTGAATTAAGTAAAATTTTAATTATGAAAATAACATTATCAGCTCCTCCCAGCTCCAGCAGATGACATTTTGCACGATACCTCCAACTCAACTGCTGCTCACTGTTGTGGCAGCAAGTTCAGATGCTAAACAAAAGAAATGTAAAGACAGAAAGATCCTTCTTATTATATGTACATAAGAAAATACTACATTATAGACAGAAAGATCCTTCCTATTATATGTACATAAGAAAATACTACATTATATAGCAAAACATTTTTAGAAAGACAACCTTAATTGGTCATCAATTTCCAAAAATTATCCTGCAGGTAACTACTGGGTTTTTTACTAGTTCTGTGTGTTTACACCATTGATATAAAAAAATAAACATTTTAAAATAGAAGATTTCTGCTTAAAAGCCTCAACTCAGGAACCTTAAGTAATGTGGAGGCTTTATCCTGGATATTTTATATGACAAAGACTTTAAATACATATGAACTCTTCATATTCTGAAACATACTACAGAAACAAGAGTTAATGAGATGGAAACACAATTTAGTTTTAAGAACAATTAAAAAAATTACACATTTAGCCTGAAGTCTTCCCACTACTAATTTAAACAAACTTTAGAGCATGCATTTGTGCCCTACAGATGTAGCAGCTGAATTCATTGATCCACGTAAAATACACCTTTCCACACTTAATCTTTGTGATCTGAAGCAGCATAAAATGCATGTGATTAATTGTAAGTTTAGAAAAGGGGCTGATTTTTACCTTTCACTTGTGTGTACCATGGGGAGAAAAAAAAAGGTTACAAAGATGCAATGCATCAAATAGCCAGGGACCATAGGAAAATAGCAGAAACTAGTTTTCTAGTTTTATTATATTCATATAATCTTCTGTTTAGGCTTTCAGAAGAATTTACAAGAGCAGTAAGGGGAATATATTCCCCAAAATACAGGGGAAAAATGGAAAAAAATAAAATTCAACTCCTTCTTTCTAAAAGCACTGGAATTCAGGTTATGGTTCCTGGTCAATTTTCTATCCAGTAGGTTTTCAACTGTGCTAGAGCTGCCAGCCTGCTGAGGTAACTCCAGAACTATGCAACTTGGTAACAAAACACTTGTGAGAGCACAGTTTATCAAGCAGTGCCGAGACAGAGAGAAACAGTGCGGCCTTACTTAAAGTGAGAGAGCTAACTGGTTTTAAATGCAATAAAACTTGAAATCATCTTCATCTACATAGCACCTGCCAAACAAATGGAAGAGTTAAAACAGTCCTTTACATGGTTTAACAGGAAACAAGTAGCCAAAGACAAAAAAACCCAAACACCACATTATTAGAGACATTAAGTTCAGGTAGAAATATAAAATGGACTTATTTTACAATATTGATGGCAGGTAATTTTGAATTCCCAAACTACATATACAACTCAAGCTCCTTCAGTTTTGTTTTTTCTTACTTCTCTCTTAAGCTGCAGCCATCAGTAAAAATGGTGAGAAGTGATGTACATTCCAGCTCTTTCAGGATGCAAAAGAAATACCTTAAAAAAGCACAGAACAACCCAAAACCAGACACAAGGTGTTCAACACTCATCTTTCTCTTTGCTTTGCTCTATAACCCTCACTGAGACAATTAAGATTTCTCCTCATACAAAGGTACCTGAAGATTTTTAGGCTTAGGCCAGGTTGAGGGCAGGCAGACCACTGATGTGTCCCTACATAGACCAGGATTATCCCAGCACAAGGGACCAGTTATGCCATTAAGTCCTACGTTCCCTTGAACTGGTGCAGCACTTCTCCTCCCTCTACGTTGGGGCACAAAGAGATGGGATTGAGCAGAGAGCCCTGATGTGGTACAGAACCACTTGGAAACCAGCAGCACAAGGAGAAACACTGAGAGTTTAACTCAATTTTACTCATTCCTTAGAATACTAGAGCAAGAAACAGGGGGAACCATTAGTTTCTGAGATCATCCATGTTGTTCCTGAGGTGCTCCCCGGTCAGCATAACACCACACTACACTTTGTTGTTGCCTTGACCACATCC